AGTGAAGAGGGTGATGGCTGAAATCTCAGATTTCATACACTGTAGGGTTACAAACAGTGGACCCAGGCAGTGCAGGATCTATTTCCTCAAAAATACAGTACCCTGGTTAAAGAAATCAGGAAGATGAAGTCAGAGCATAGCTAACCAAATGGAGAGGCAGACATATTTGTGGAACCATTCTTGAACTTCGAGAAGGCTCAGCACAGTAAAGGTGGCAATTCTCCCCAGAGAAGAAGATAGGGCAGGGACCTGAAATAGGCAACTAGATGAACAGGGAGCTTCTTCTAAGGAAAGGAGCTATGTTTGCCCATTTGTTTTTAGAGAAATTGAGATTGGTGTGAAAGGAGGGGATCAGGACCATGAGCTTAGAGAGTATATTTGGTAGGCAAGGGGGAAAAGATAAGTGGAAGGAAAAGATAGTTGAGGTTAAGTTCCAGAAAAAAAATGGAACCCAGATAGTTAGATTTGTATCTAAAGGAGGCCAGGAGGGCAAGATTTTGCATTTATTCAAGTAAGCATTATTCAAAGGGCAGCAGAAACTTAAGAAGAGTTCCTGATCTGCAGAGTTTGAAAGAGGCAGGGTAGAGAGTTTTTGGCGAAGGCTCTGCATGGAGATTCAATTTTGATTGTGAGAGAAGGGTCTCACCCAGCAGTCAAGGTAAAGGTTAATCAACACAGGAATAAGCTCATGGTGTGTGCACATATGCAGCTACAGAAGAATCCAGGTATGTGGAAGGATCTATGGTAGCTTAATAAACCTAGAGGATAAAAATGTGAGCAGGGATGATGTAAGGGTGGGTGGGCAAGGAATAGGGAGCGAGCCGTGTTTGGGACATTTGTCCCTCACTGGCTAGATGTTGAAGAGCAGTAAGGAAGGGGCATGGGTCAGGGTTTGCTAGGCTGACTAGCCTCGTACTTGGTGTAAGATTTCAGTATTCTCTCCCAGTCTGTCCATCTGTCTATGTGTCTCAAATGCCACAGACACATGCAAAAGCTTTAGATATGTCCTTCTGGGTTTATGTGTTAGGAAGATTACTCTGGTGGTACTAATTTGGGCCAAAAAATGAGGGGACAGGAAAGAAGAATGCCTGAGTGACCTGCCCAAGAAGCTATAGGTCATGGGACAGAACAGAGACATTGAAGGCCTGAACCTGGACAGCAGCAATAGGGTCAGAGAGGAGAGAATGGCTGAGTGGCATGGCACTGGCTCTAAGAAGCACTGCCAGAAGCCATGGGACTTTTAGATGTGGCAGGCATGTTGGAGGTGGTGATATGTTCACAAGTCAGACATCAGTGCTGGCAAGATTTCTGAGCAGGCAGGTGGCAGAGTTGTGGTGCCTTTTGGTGGGATGATACTCAAGAGGACGAGTAGAGTCTTTCTCCAAATTTTTTATCTCTGAGAACAGCATTCAAGCTGCCTTTTATTTTCTCCTACCCCTCTCCTCCATTTATCTCAAGACATTTTGTAAGCAATTGGTTTGGAGTCCTTGAGCTCATGTAGTCTTCCATTCATCCATTATATTCTTGATCTTTCATAGCCTTAAGCTTGCCTAGATGCAGGAGCTAATCCAAACGTCAATCTCTGATCTGATCTTTGGCCCCACACAGAGACTGGACCCCATGGTAGGAACTGAGGATTGAGCATGGAGCAATCTCCTGTCCAGAGAGTTCTAAAGTCATGGTGAAGGTGATGAGTGGGAGAGATGGAGATCGGGCGACTGAAAAGTAGTTGGATTTCCTGCAGATTGTTGAGGTTACTCCAGTGGTAGGCATTTTGGTGTTTAGCCCACCTGGCAGTTCCGCCTATAAGAGAGTCAGCCTTGTACTTACTGAAGCTCAAGGTCTAGGTCCCCAGCAAATTGGGCCTCTCCTCGACAAGAGGACTTGAGACTAAATCCTGAGCAGTTTGGTCCTCTTAGAGTTAGTGGGAAGTTAAAGTAGTAGAGTTTGATATTAGGAAAGCCCACAGAGGTTGGCTTTTGCAGGAGTACACTTAACAAAGGTGCAGTGTTAAAAAGTTTTTGCCTGTCTTGGGCTTGGATCTTCAAAGTACTGCACACCTGGCGAGTTGATTCCACCTAAAGGTTAGATTCAGAGCTTTGTCAGTGGTGTGGCTAGAAGGTTTACAGGTGTTACACCCATTTGATGGTTAGCTATGGAGTGTCTTCTGTGTTTCACAGCCAAGAGGTAATCTGTGGTTTGTTTCAAGGACCGAGATGCATTGTGGAACTTGGGTTAATGGTTCCTGAAAGACCTTCTCAGAGGGTGGAGGGAGGCCACTTGGAACTGGAGCCTCCTTTAGAGAGAGATGGAGCTTCTCATGTGGTGAATAATGGTGACTTTTAGGCAGTTAAAGGCAAGTGACCTTTGTGTCCAAGGCTTCAAGTTTGATGCTGTGGTGGAGAAACAAAGAGATGGTAGTGTTTCTGCCCATGCAGAAATGGTTGGTTAGTGAGACGATCTGTAAAACATACGGGAGAACAGAGGCTTTTTGTGTGTTTGTTTTGTTTTTGCTTTGTCTCTTCTTCTAACACTCAAGCAGCACTGGCTAGTTGATATGACTCTGGTAGCCCTGTTCCCAACTCTTCTGAGCAAGTACATCATGAAAGTTACGTATAGAAAGAGTGGAGGGTGGCAGGTAGATCAAAGTATGAACAGCTGTCCAGTTAGTACACATCAGTAGAGTTTCATTGGACCTGTCTTAGCCTGGGATATTTGGATTTGTGAGTCAGGGTGGAAAGAGGGTGGGGTTAGCTTTTGCTGGAGGTACGTTAGAGTTACCCAAATAGGATTAACAAGATGGTTCAGAACATCACATCCCCAAAAAGTGCAAGGCGACTGGATGATTGAATGCATTCAGAGGGCAGAAGGTCATGTTGTCATTAAGTTGGAGGGGCAGAGCTAGAGAGGCCCAAATGTTATTTTGAATAGGGGGCAGTCAGTCTGACAGGGATCTCAGTAACTGTTTGTAGAGCCATTTTAGGAGTTTCAGAGTTCTCCTTTCTAGCCATCTGGGACAGTGGGTTCTGTAAATTTAGCATTGAGGACACCTCAAGGGACTGAGAATGCCCGCCAGCAGTTTAGCACTAAGTTTGCCAAATTAATACTGCATTATTGGTCAGTGTATGGAAGCCCTGGGTTAGGTACTGTGAAAGGCTGGGAATGCAAAGATGAGGAGAAGGAAGAGGGAGAGGTATTCATGAGGACCTAGGCAGTGTCTGGCATTTTACATTGCCAGGGACTTGTTCATGATTGGATAAGAGTGAAACGTAATCTGTCCTTCTCCTAATCAGGGATGGGAGAGGGAAGTAGAGAGTCAAGGAATGCAGTTCGGGGCATTTCTCCTTCCATATTTGTCAGTTTTTGCAATTATGTGTTTTGAGTCTATTATAACATGCAAATTAAAACTACAGTATCTCTCTGGAAGTTTTTCCTTTATAGCATCCCATTGATCAGTACTCACATGTTCAGTTGATTGATTTCTTTCTGGTTCTTCAATATCTGCAGATCATGGGTGAATCCTGACAAACCAGAGCTGTGTTCTGTTTTCTTATCCGGCCTCCCCCCGGCTTTTTGCTTAGCCCACCTACGGTTTGATGTAATATTGATATATATCGCTTTCTGATGGTTCTTCCTTCTTGTCCAGCCTCTTCTCTATATAGCTTCCCCTCTTTCTTATCTTCTCTTGGACTGATTATTTTCCAATATTCCAATTTTTTACTTCTTTTTCTTCAATGATTTTAAATGTTAGCCATTTCTGATTCTGTTACTTTAGTGGTTACTGTTGGAATTAACAGCATGCAGATTGAAATCACCAGAGTTCAAAATTAGTCAGCTTTTCTATCCTCTTCTGGGGCATAAGAATACCACATCCTTCTCTCCTTTAACCTTCTTGGGACTTGAAGGGTTTCTGCCCTTGTTCTCGAAAACTATGTTCTTGGATATCATTTTATGTCCCCACCCTTCGTCTCCTCTCTTTTGGGGGCTTCGATTCAACCTGTATTAAACCTTCTCACGTTCGTCTAACTCATCCACTCTTCTCTGCTTTTCATCTTTTAGTCTTTCCCATGGTGAATTCTGTGCATTTTCTTCTCAGCACCCTCCATTTTTCTAATTTTCTCTTCAATTGAGTGTAAATCCATTTTCTGCAGTTCTTAATTTTGCTTACTGCGTTTTCATTCCTAAAAGTTCTTCCTGATTGTTTTTCAGATCTGCTGAGTCACTTGGCCAAGATTGTTTTTGTCCTTGCACATACTTTCAGGGTTGTTCCAAGTTCTGAAGACTGAGCCTGGCTGTTGGTGGCTCTTCATCATGGTATCTTGGTTCCTTCCATGCTGGACACTGCACGTAAAATATGGTTAGTAGGAACACTGTGAGGCGTAAGACAATTCGGCCCTCCTTCCGACAATGATGTGTGTTTGCATCTATCTGGACTCTGGGCTGTGTATCAGCCTGAGACCACTTTGACGGAGGTTTGACATTCCCTGTGCTGGCCAGGCAGTGTGAAAGTCGTTAGGCTTTAAGTCATTAGGAACACAGGATTGTTTTGGGCTCAGATATTTGTGGGAGTGCGGCCCTTTGGGGCCAGCTAATTGTGGGTGGGGTGTTCTATGAGACTGACCTTTCAACCCTGAGACTTAACCCTGGGCTTTGATTTCTGTTCCCGTGTCCCTGAGAGGGCATCAAAAAGAAAGCAGAAAAAAAGGCAAAATCCATTTCCAGGCTCCTGAGTTCCTTTCATTCCTTGTTTTGAGCCTGGAAATTCCTTGCTGTCAGGGCTGGCCTGGGGCATGGCAGTTAAGTTGGCATGTTCTGCTTCAGCAGCCTGAGGTTCACCAATTTGGATCCTGGGCACTGATCTACACACCACTTATCAAGCCATGCTGTGGCAGGCGTCACACACATAAAAAACAGGAAGATGGGCACAGATGTTAGCTCAGGGCCAGTCTTTCTCAGGAAAAAGAAGAGGATTGTCAGCAGATGTTAGCTCAGACCTAATCTTCCTCAAAAAGAAATAAAGAAAGAAATGAAGGAAGGAAGGAAGGAAGAAAAAGAAAGAAATTCCTTGCTGTCTCCTCACCCCTTGGATCCTTTTAGGGGGATGTTTTAAGAATTACTTGTATCCAGTGTTTATAGCTGTTTTTGAAAGCACGAAGGTTGGTCTGAAGTAACCTCGGCCCACCGTTACAGAAACTGGAGGCTGGAGGATGTTTTAGCTGATGTATCCCTCCATTCTTGTTAAATGGGTAGCCCATTTCATTTGCACTATTTCTGCTGAAAGAGAAAAGACTTTCTCTCTGGCCAGTGGCTGTACACAGGTCCAAAGGGTGGCGGGCACTCTAGTTTATTTAGCAAAACTGTATTTCAGGCCAAACTTTATTCATGCAGACCACTGTCAGGGCCACTTTAGGGCTTGTTGAGGTGGAAGCACATATGGACATCTTCTGATAGCCTATGTGTACAGAGTGTTCTTATTACCGATTTCCCAGAGCTGCCTTACGGTCAGGCATAAAGACTATCACTCATAAATTCAAGAATTTTAAAAGGAGTGATTCTTGTCTAGACTCTCAGCTTTCAACTTACATTTACTCATTGCTAATGGACCAAATTCTGAATGCCAGAGGCTTCTCGTTGGAACTTGACACTTAATACAAATTAGTATTTGTGTAGTGTAGTGCCATCAGTCTGTAGTCCCTCTTTGCTGTTAGAAACTGCGACAAACAAGTGAAGTGAAGGAACTGTTATCTAGAGTGTGAATTTGGTTCTGGATAACTAAGCTCTGGTTATTATCCTACACATAGTAAATCCATGATGTTCCCACATAAGGGTTCTGGAAAACAAACAAAAACTCTGTTCACTGTTCATTTGACATAGGCAGAGAGAGGCATTTCTTCTACTCTTGGCAGCTAGATCAAGCCTTGCGTTCTATTACCGAGCAGATGTTTTTTCCCAGGCCTTCCTTATGTTTGTGCTACAGGCATAGTATCAGAAAGTTGTTCTGTAACTGAGGGTCTTGGGTGCTACTAGCTTCACTGTCTCACACAAGGACCTGAAGGATGGGCCAGTTCCGCTGACCTAAGATAGACATTAAACCCTTTTAAAGGCCTTCATGAGGTGTTCTTAGCTTTCAGATAGTGTTCTGTGGACACCTGAGTTCTCCTGGGTTACTTGAACATTAGGAGTTATCCATACCACTTGGAATAAATGTAATACTAAACCTTTTACAAAGTCACTTACGTATTTGTCAACAATTGGTACTCCTTTGACTTTCAGTACACTACTGAGTAGGGAGGCAAAACCTTCTAATTTCTGTGGCTTCTCACATACCAAAATTCATATAGATTCAGCTGGCCATGGATTTCCATTACCCATCTGCATCTTGGATCAACCAGTGTCTTGGCTTTAGAGTGTTCAGACTATAGAAGTCTGTTTTGGTCACTGTCAGGCCCAACGTTTTTTACCTGCAAGATTGTCCTATTTTTCTTACTTCTTAGAGCCTCAATCTTAAAACTTTCAGATTGAGTGGGGTGTTTTTCCCTTCCCTTCAGTTTTCCAGAGGTTGATAAATGTATTGTGATTTGCCCTTGCTCTATGGTGTGTAATTTTCAACTTTTTCTGGAGTCTCTTAGACTGCTAGATTGTTTTTTGGTGTAAAAGGGGCTTCATTCTGACTTTAGTGTGGCCTCTCCACTTGAAGAAGGGCACATAGGTGGGTTGGTGGTTGACTCACTACTGGCAATGGTTTTGGGGGGAGTTTTTCTTAAAGCACGCATATTCTATGGTAAATAAAACCCTCATGTATAGCCTGTCTCCTGGACTAGGTGGCCTGTGCCCTACACACAGTGCGTTTGTATTATCTTACTATATCCTACTCAGTCTCTTGGGATAGATTAGATTTTGACTTTCCACATAGCCATTAAATTCTTATTTGTGTTTTTGGCTTAGCAGGCATGGGAATAAATCACGTCTTTCAATATGATGCATATTTTCCTTTGTATCTTATACATTTTATTGGCACATAAAAAATAGCAGTTGATTAGAAGAGGTTGTTTTCAAAGAATAAGAAAAAAAGTTGAGGTCAATTAAACCAGTTATGGTAGAGTATCTTCCATATGCTCCTGACAGCCCTGGGAACTTTGGAAGATTCAGTGACTAATCAGTGGTAGAATTGCATTAACCAGAGCCCGATTAAGGGCATTCCATTATTGTTTAACCCCTTCTTGAAAACCTGAATTCCTCTTTAGCCCTCTTTTTAGTTCCCACAACCCCTAGTCACCTTCCCATTCTCCCCATCCACCCATCACCCTTCCTCACCATCTTTGTCCACCCCAAAATGATTATTTATTCAATCTTTAATGAGTTCTTCTTGGACAAAGAATGCAGGGAAAGCTGCTACTTTCAAGAATCTTTGATATCTCCCTTTAGATGTGGCTGCAGTCTAATTCACAAATAATATTCATTTACACAGTAACAAGAGTTCTTGAAACCATGATCTTTGGAATGCTGCCCCCCAGCATCTTTATTTTTTCTTGGTGAACCCCTCTCTATTAATTGGTTTTAAAGGTGGCAGCTGTCTTTTTTTTTAAATGACCCATCTGCATTTTATCTTCCCTTCTCTCTAGGCAATGTGCCTACAGTGATCGGTAGGGCCAACCTCAGCCATGATGTGATCACCAACAGAGAAAGACCTCCTGGTTCCTTTGATATAGTGCACTTGAAGGATGCAAATGGCAACAGCTTTGCCATGAAGATTTACAACATTTTGGTCAGTGGCAAAGTAAGGTCTTTATTCTCTTTGTTCCTTCTAACAAGGCCCACCCTAAAAAGGAAAAAGACCATGCAGTGACCTCTGGGTGTTTATTTGTTTTTTCTCTTTTCCTTCATGTGTGAATGTGCAGACTACAGCAAGCTCTGTCTTCAGAGCCACTGGCCAGAAAGACAGTTAGATATAGGGCACTGCTTGCTTTTTTTCCCCCAGAGGAAGACTTGTCCTGAGCTAACATCTGTTGCCAATCTCCCTCTTTTATTTTATTTTTTTTGGTTGTTGTTGTTGTTGAGGAAGATTAACCCAGAGCTACTGTCCACTGCCAGTCTTCTTTTTGTTTGAGAAAGATTAGCCCTGGGCTAACATCTGTGCCAGTCTTCCTCTTTTTTGTTGTGGGCCACTGCCACAGCATGCAAACTTAACCACTACACCACCAGGCCCGCCCCCAGCACTGCCTACTTTTTGAGGTGATGTGTGTGAAGAACCAGCAGTGTTGTGTAACAACAAATAAAGTTAAATTCAGCCTTGCAGACTTTCCCAGCACTGCACCACTCATGCTGGATTGAGTTGAGCCATAGTTTAAGAGGAAGGGTTCTAATCCTGGTAGCACCTTGCCCTTTGCTTTGCTTTTGTGATTCTGGTGAGTTGGCTGACCTCTCTGAGGCTCCATCACAAATCTCGACAGTGAAAATGGAGTAATGGGAATTGATGCAAGGACTGTAGAAAGGTGATAAGTGAGGATGAGGACATTTAGAAAGCACACACTGCTTGTTACTTTCCTTCCCTCCCTCAAAATGAACTTGGTTTGATGTCTTTCAAGACCGTTTCAGGGAGTGAGCACCTCTGTGGAGTCATGTGGTATCCTCAGATGGGAGGATTACCTCAAGTGCCACTTGGTTCTGAACCTGTGGTTCTTGGTCAGCAGTGGGAACCGTCTCTGCATATCTGCTAGGCCTCTCCCTCCTCTGAACTCTTAACAGCCCTGGTATGTGATTGAGGAAGGGGTGGGGGATAAAAACAAAAGTAAAAGGTTTTCACCAGCTGAGTAACCTTGGGAGCACCATCTCTCACTTGTGCAACCTGGCTGCTTTTAGGAGTACTGGGTGATGGTGCCAAGGTGGGAGGGAAGTAGGGCTCCTTTTTGGGCTTTGCCACTTGCTAACTCTGGCCACTTCTCTCCTCTTAACACCTCAGTTTGTGTCTTCCGACGAAGGTTGAGGATTGCGGGAGTGAATGAACAAATGCATGTGAAAGCCCTGTAAAACCAGGCGTACGAGGAGTACGCAGTTCTCCACTTCAAAATTGTAAGGCTCCGAGGCTGTTGGCCTTGTCTTTTGCGGCACTGTTAGTGCGTCTCAAGAGAAAGGTGCTCATCCTATGTTTGCTAGCGTATGATGTTGCTTGACACAGAGTAGAAGCAGGAAGACCTGTACGTTCAGCAGCCTAACATGGGGAGTGGAAGGCGGCTGGCTGTGAGGGGCAGATGTCTTCTCAAGTAATACGTATAGCGAAATTTCAGTTTGGTGGCTTCCATTAGCTGGTCCTTAGGTAAGGACTGGTGAGAGGCTTTGCTTTGGAGGGTGACTTCCCTCTTTCCTTTATTTACTTACTTTACCCCCTCCTGTGTTGCAGGGTAATCAACCTTGGATTTCCCTGCCCAGGAGAAAGGGCATCCCAGGATAACATTGCTGAAGAAAGACCACGAGGCTGACCGCTAAACAGAACAGTGGCTAACTGCAGTAGGGTAGACCTTCTTTGGTGAGATAAGCACTGAATTCTAGTTTCCTAATGTGGTTTCTTTCTTGCGGATAATAGTGGTATTTACAGGACTTTGAATTTTTATCACGGTGCTCGCACCATTTTGGGAACATTAGGGATACCACCTATACTTCCTCTGCCCCTCCAGGAATAAGCCTTTCTTCCATTTTTGCTTCTCTCACACATGCACCACCACCCTCTCCAAGGGCAGGTCACCAGCAATCACATCACAAAACTGTCCAAAAAAAGCCACATGTGCCATGTGTGGCTGCCTGGAGAGCTAGCATTTGTGGAACCTCAGAGCCATAAAAGAAAAAGACATGTACTCATGGGTTAGGGGGAGACTAAAATAATCATTTTTACTTGCTTTATCAGGGGCATTCTTAAGTGAAACTTGCTTTTACTTATTTACTTAGTTTTACTGAGAATGTGTGATAGTGAAGATTACGAACAGGGACAGGAACAGTGCGGTGCTGCTATCTCAATCCTTCCTTGATGGAGACCTCGAAGTCTCAGGACAACCTGCGCTCTCGCACCATCAGGTGCAAGTAAGCATCAGCATGGTGGAAAGGGCAGATAGCATTTTAGTACTATCAAAATAATTATTTTACTTCCTTTATCCCTGGAAAAGTTCTTGGGGTTACAGTAATGGCATTTTAGTAACATCTAGAAGTTAATATTCTTCGAGTAGCTGCTGACATCATAGGGAGAAGATCAAGAAGACATCATGTACATCTCAGGACACAATACAACTCATGAAGAAATTATGTGTGTGTGTGTGTGTGTGTGTGATTACATATATGAGTATGTTCTGAATGCTATCAGGCAGATCCAATAATATGTAAGAAAGAAGAGACACTTTAAAGGACACCATAGCATGGACAAACCGCACAGCAATAAAAATGCATTGAACAACATGGAAGAGTGTCACTGAAGTGTTTTGGAAAGAAGGAAAGTAAACTCAAAATTAGTTCTATTTCTACAGTACTTAAGAGCATGCGAACTAATCTGTGGTGCTCAGAAGATCGAATAGAGTTTATCTTGCAGTGGGGATGAGAACCACATTGTGGAAGGAGACTTGGGATACTAGAAGTGTTCTCAATCTTAACTTTTGGTGAGTGGCCCAGTATGTGACACTGGTAAAAAATTCATTAAGCTGTAAGCGTTTAGGTTTTATATTTTGTTGACTATGTTATGCCATCATTAAAAAAATTAGTCTTTGGTGAAAGAAGAAATGAGGTTGCCTCTCGGAGAAGGGCATAATGCAGGGTGGCTTATGATTAGTAAATGGGTGTGTGGAAATTATTGAGCTCATATAGTCCCAACTTCGTCGGAGTCATCATTATGCAGATGTATATACTTTTGTCACAGCTGGAGCTGTGTTATTAAAAGAAAATGATAACGCACAGAATTGTTAGAAGAAGCAGGCTAAATGCTAACAAGCCTGGAGCAGTGTCCAAAACCATGATATAGAACCATTCAGAGACAAAGTCTGTTCTTACTTTTGCTCCACAGAGCGCAGGAACCTAGTATTTCACTTGCTGATGTCAAAATCAGTGGAACATGTTGGCTATGACAAGACACTCAGCTGCCCCTGACACCACCCATGCAACACTGCATAATCCCGTGTTGAAGTCTCAAATATGTGTCTGAATGTCAGTATTTACATCACATGGCTTTGTCCTAATTGTAATGGAGGATTGGTATTAGTCTCTCATTCCTACTTGGTAAGGTAGTAGGGCACATCACATTGCAATTTCTCCAAATACTTAAATGATGGTAAATAATCACGTCATATTTGCCCTGTATATTCTCTTTTTGAATTTACATGTCTCTATGCATAAAAGAAAACTTGCTATTTTCAAGAGTGTAAATGTATGTAGTTTTAAATTTGAAAAGTTTTCTTGGCATATGTTAACGTTAGAATATTATTTTGGCAAAGACAAATACAGTAGCATAAATGCTAGATAAAAATACACGTATGGAAAACCATTGTTGCTTTTTATCGTTTGGTTTATGTTTTAGACGAACCCAGGAGACTCAACAATGAAATACTGTTGAAAATTAGTTTGGGGTATAAGAATAAACAACAATCTTAAAATATTCATGGACTCTGATAAAGTAAAGTATATGGAAAATACTCTTCTAATTAGTTTAATGTGTAATTAATGATGTTGCAACTGTTCACCAGATTAATATTTTTGTTGAGCAAATCAAAGGTTGTAATAGGACTTCATGCATTTAGTTCTATTTATCTTTTAAAAACCAATATTACGATCTCTTGGTCTTTTGGTTGTTGTATAAACATATTTACATGTATTTTGATGTGAAAATCAAGTCAGAGAATTATAGACACACAGCATTAGAAAATTAAAAAACTGGGGGGCCCGCCCGATGGCGAGGCAGTTAAGTTTGCACGTTCCACTTCAGTGGCCCCAGGTTTGCCAGTTCAGATCCCCGGAGCAGACGTGGCACCACTTGGCAAGCCATGCTGTGGCAGGTGTCCCACATATACAGCAGAGGAAGGTTGGCTCAGGGCCAGTCTTCCTCAGCAAAAAGAGGAGGATTGGTGGCAGATGTTAGCTCAGGGCTAATCTTCCTCAAGGAAAAAAAAAGAAAAGAAGAGAAAAAAACTGGTTTTGAGTAAAAATTATTCATGCAAACGTCTTATTAGTCCTGCTAGGTTTATTGAGAATGGCCATTGAAAAAAATTGTTTATATGCTGTTTAGACATGTAGCAGATATAGAGAAGCACATATGTCCCTTATGTGATTTACTGCTGAGGTTATGTGTCTATCTCTCTGCCAGTCAAATGCAGTCTTGTAGCAATTGCTGCCTTGCTGGACTTTTTATGAGAATTTAATTAAGTATGTAAGTCAAGAATGAAGTTTGACTAGAATCAGTCATTTTCAAAATATGTTAAATCTTTGAATTCGTAAGCATGATATATCTCCATATTTTTCACTGTTGTAGTTTTCAGCCTAAATGTTTTTACATGATTTGGTGGATTTACACATATTTCTTTCTTTGTTTTTTTAGCCTCTTTTAAACAGTGTATTTTTAATTTCAATTTCTATGTGTTTAGAAATGTAACTTATTTGTGTATGTTGATCTTGTATCCTGTGACTTTGTTCAACTGACTATAGCAGTTTCTTGCTGTTCCTTGAGATTTTGTAAGTATACAACCGTGTCATCTGACGATAAGGACAGCTTTATTTCTTCCTTTCTGATCTCTGTGCTTTGTCATAGTGACGTCACTAGAACTTGTCGGACATTGCTGAGTAAGCAGTGATGGCAGACTGCTTTGTCCCTGTTTTCTCAAAGAGATTGTATAGAATTGAATTGAATTGTTAAAATGTTTGGAGGATTCTTGTAGTTTCTATAAGATGTGTAGAATTTGTAATTCTTTAAATGGTTGGTAAAATTCTCCAGTGTAACTATCTAGGTCTGGAGATTTGTTTCAAAAGTTATAAGGCTATTTAAGGATCTGTTTCATATTGGAGGAGCTGATGTTGGAACTGCATGTTTTCCAAAGAACTTTTCCAAGTCACCTAAGTTTTGAAATTTGTGTGCCTATAATTATAGTATTCTCTTTATCTTTTTCATATCTACAGGGCCTGTAGTAATATGCCGTTTGATTCTTGATACTGGCAATGTCTCCCTCTCTCTTTTTTCTTTGTCAGTCTTGCTAGAGGTTTGCCAATTTGATTGCTCTTTATAAAGAGCCAGCTTTGTTTCATTTCTTTTTCTCTATTATTTTTCTCTTGTGTATTTATTCCTTTTTTATTTTCTGCTTTTGTCTGCTGTGGGTTATTTTTGGTCTTTTTTTCTAGTTTATTGAAGAGGGAGCCTAGATCAGTAACTGAAACATTTCCTGTTTTCAAATGTTTGCATTTCATGTCATAAATTTTCCTCTCAGTATTGCTTTGCCTGCGTCTGATCTGGTATGTTGTATTTTCATGTTTGTTGAGTTCAGTATATTATTTTATTTCCTTTGACACTTCCTCTTACTATTTTCTACCTTGCTTTCTTTGTGGTTAGACAATGCACTGCCTGATTTTGATCCTTTCAAATTTGTTGAGGTTTGTTTTATGACACAGGTATATGCTCCATGTGCCCTTGAATATAATGTGTCTTCTGTGTGAGTGTGTCCTATAAATGTTGGTTAGATTGTTTTGGTTGATGGTGGTGTTGAGTTCTGTATCTTTGCTGGTTTTCTATCCAGTTCTTCTGTGAATTGAGAGAGCAATGTTGAAGTCTCCAACTGTAATTGTAGATTTGCTTGTTTCTTTCAATTCTTTTAGGGTTTACTTCACATATTTAGTTCTGTTTTTTGGTGCGTGGACATTTCAGATTGCTGCGTTTTTTCTTGGTGAATTGATTAATTTATTATCATGTAATATCCTTTTTGGTCTCTGGTAGCTTTCTTTTTTCTGGTCTGCTTTAGCTGATGTTAATATATTTATTCCTCCTTTCCTTTGATTAATAGTTAGATGATATATTTTCCCATTCCTTTACTTTTAATCTATCTGTATTTTTCTATTGAAATGAATATCTTGTAAACAGCATATATGTGGGTCATGTGAGTATTTTTTCATTTATTTCTTTTCTTGTTCTTTCTTCCTGTAGGTTATTTGAAGAGAATTTAGGAATCTGCTTTGTATACATTCAGAAATCTGTACCTATTTTATATACCTGTAGTGTTTTTGAATGTATCTCTCTCTATACTTTTTTAGTGGTTTTCCTAGTTATTACATTGTACTTGTGTAATTTTTTACAGTCTACTGACATCATCTTTATACCAGTTTGAATGAAATAGAGAAACCTTAATTTCTTTTAAATCCCTTAGAACTCTCATATTTACACTTGTCTTAAATATTTCCTCTACATACATATAGGACCACCTCAGATGGTGTTACATAATTTTTTAATTGTATTATATTTAGTTCTAAAATTTCCATTGGTTTTTTGTTGTTGTTGTTGAGGAAGATTAGCGAGGAGCTCACTACTGCTAATCCTCCTCTTTTTGCTGAGGAAGCCTCGCACTGAGCTAAAACCCATGCCCATCTTCCTCTATTTTATATGTGGGATGCCTGCCACAGCATGGCTTTTGCCAAGCGGTGCCATGTCCACACCTGGGATCCAAACTGGTGAACCCCGAACCGCCAAGAAGCAGAACGTGTGAACTTAACCACTATTCCACCAAGCTGGCCCCTAATTCCATTGGTTTTTATGTATTCTAAATTATTTTTGCTGAAATTTTGAATGTTTATGCTTTATTCTTTCTTTTTAGTTTCAAGCATTGCTTTCATAATTGCTTTTACAAGCAATGTTCTGCTGGCAACTTTGAAACCTTAGTCAGACAATCCTGATGTCTCTGGTATTTCTTTGTTGGCATTTATCTAGTATCTTTGTACATTCAGGTTGAGGGTTTTCTGCTTCTTGGCACGATGAGGGATTTTTATTTGAAACTTGGTCATTTAGGGTATTACGTTATCAAACTCTGGACATTATTGTGACTTTCTTTTGTTAAAGCTAGATATCTGACACCACTGTAAAAGGGGAAAGGCCTGTTCTGCCAAGTGGGGACAGAATTCCAATTTTCCTCCTTAGCTTCCTTCGACACGTGAGGGGAGAGGGCTCCTCTTTATTGATGAATGTGCAGGTTCCTGCCCCCCACTTGGCCTTGCAGGTACCTCCCTGGCTAGGAGGGGTGGGGTGCCTCATTACCACATGGCAGGGTTGAAATCCCCAACTCTCTAGTATGATCTAGAGAGTAGATGCTAGGTAGTATCTGGTACTATCCCAGCAGAGGGTTGGAGTGCGCTGTTATTGCCTGGTGCAGTGGGAATGTAAACTCCACTCAGCCTTTGCTGGCTTGAGTGAGAGGTTCCCCGGTTTTCTGTGGTGTTTGGATGAAGTGGATTAGTCATTATCTGAAAGTTTTCTGTGTTGGTAAGACACCCCAGCTTCTTCAGGAGAAAGTCTGATATATAGGGCAGGAAGAAAATCCAGGTACAATTTCACAAGCACATTCTTACGGGTGCACACAAGCCCAAAGACACACTCCTGTATACCCACAAGCACAAAAAGCATAGCAAGAAAATCCAGGGAACTCACCACCTCATTATTCCTTGACTCTTGAAGAGTCCCCCATTAATTCACTTATTCTATTCACCTTTCAGTGTCTTTTTCCGTTTGTTTCATGTATAACACCAAAAAGTTTTAATTGTACTTAAGGGAAGCAGTGTGAATAGTGTGTCGAATTTATGTCCTCCACAGAACATTTCTGGTATTTTGGGGGGACCAAGTCTGAAAGTTATTTTTGCAGTTGAATGGTTTTAAACTACTGAGAACCTAAATAGGAAGAATGCTTAAAAAGACATATCTTTGTTCTGAAGTTCGGAGGATCCTGGGATATTTCCTAGGTGAGATTATTTTGTGACTGGGTCATATTAAAATCATGTTGTGCTATACCTCAGAATATAAAGAATCTAGGGAGGTAGGAAAAGGATATTCAGATAATGCTGACCTCTTTATTTTCCGCATTTGCACAACCCCTCATCCTACTCTTCTTTTTCTGACGCCTTATTCTGGCCTCACCCTTACTGTATTTTATTGCATATTTTAACCATCTCGTTCTGTCCTCTTACTTTCTCCCATAATTGTTTTTTCTTCTTCCCCAATGTTTTCCATTTACCCCACATAAATCTTCTTCTTCACTTTTAATTATTTTAGGTCTCAAACTTATTTTTGGCAACATTCATTTACTTATGTACAATATTTAACCATATTTCTTGAGCTACACTCTCTATAAATGCACTTTTGAGTGATATATTAAGGGTATATGTGTATAGATTATCCTTGTTTTGTGCTGTGAAATGCCAGGAAGGAATCACTATTACTTGTGTGCAGCAATGAGTCCAAGCTTTTTCTGTTTAGGCACAATTTGAAAATATGTGTATGTGGGGTAGGATGGCAACTGTAGGTTGCCAGCCTGAGATCTCTGGATATCCAAATGTGCACCCCGTCTCAACCCCAGGTTTCTGAGAGCACTAAGTGGGTGAATCTTGTCACTGTAATGTGTTTCAGCACAAGACTTGAGAAACTCTTTTGTGGATAAAGAATTGGTCAGTATATAGCAAGTTCTCTAATGGAAGGACCTGTCAGTTAAAACACAAGAAAGAAAAGAAATAATAAGAGAGGCAGAGGAATAATCAGTACATCTCAGTGAAATACAAGGGAGAAAAGCCTTTAAGGGGTATCCAAATTTTCATAATGTTCAGATGACTGGAAACTAACAAGGCTATTCCAGCTAGTGCTTGGAGCAATAAGCAATGACAGCAGTTTTAATAAGTCAAAAGCGTTTCCTCTCTAGTGTGTGCTACTGTAACTTACCCTTTAAAGCAAATTCTCTGTGATGAGTGAAGACAAACTTCGGAAATAGTGAAGGACATGGATATTGTTGTTGAGAACAAAATTTGATTGGTTTAAGTCAATATTTGCTTATTGCTCGTTCAATAAATATTAAAAATATGTCATTTGACGGCCACTGTGCTAAATCTGTGCTGATGTCCAAGGTAGACAAGGAAAAGGGGGTGGACATGAAACATCTAGAAGTGGTGATATCTGTGCTGAGATGGGAAAAGTAGTAGTCTAAGCAGGTACAGAGAGGGCCTTCTAACCACAGTAAGGAGCAGGGATAAAAGTTCTCAGATGGGAATTGGCATGGCTGAATGTAGTTTGTGTGAACGTAGCTCCAGATGGACAGTGGAACAGAAAGATTTGAAGCTGCTAAGGTAAACAGATGCCAGATCTTCAAGGGACTTGCTAAACATGCTGAGGTTCTGGGTTCAGAATCTAACAGGCATTAAATGTCAGCATAAGGATTTATGTCTGTCTGGATGCAGCAAGAAAGAAACATCATAAGAGTGTTCACTAGAAAAATATAAACAGTGGACTCATGGGGGAGGAAATAAAGGCACAAACAAACTGGAATGCTTTGAGGAGAGTAGAGCAAAGAGGGGCCCTCAATAGTTTGGTTTTTCCGGGGCTGGCCCCGTGGCCGAGTGGTTAAGTTCGCGCGCTCCGCTGCAGGCGGCCCAGTGTTTTGTCGGTTCGAATCCTGGGCGCGGACATGGCACTGCTCGTCGGACCACGCTGAGGCAGCGTCCCACATGCCACAACTAGAGGAACCCACAACGAAGAATACACAACTATGTACCGGGGGGCTTTGGGGAGAAAAAGGAAAAAAAATAAAATCTTTAAAAAAAAAAAAAAATAGTTTGGTTTTTCCAATCCCATCATATGCTGACAGTGATTCAGTCTATCACTGCATCATGTGACTTTATTATTCCAGCAACAACATAATGGTGATCATAGTTAATAGGCTGGTTTGAATATGCTATACTTTTAATTATGAAATGTATTTTTCAATGAAGACAACCTTGCCAACTAAAATCCAAATATCCTCTTAAATAACTGGGAGAATATAATACACTAATAGAGAAAATAATAAGCTAAATGCTGTGTGTTTGCCTTTTCTAGATTTGATTTGCATCTGTCTCTTCTTCCATGCCATCGCAGTTTAGGCCCTCACTCAATTCATCTTGGACTATTTCAGAAATCACTTAACTCCAGTTTCTTCTTTTTCCTATGCTCTCATTATTTCTTCCTTTTTAAACAGTTAATTACGTAGAATTTACTTGGAGGCATGTCAAATTTCCTGTTTAATGTTAAAATGTGCATACATTTAAAAAAAGTAGTATAATAGCCTGCCATTAAAATAAACTACCATTTTACTCTTAACTATTTCAAAAAATGAAGAAAATGAAACCATACACGTGAACTTGTAAGTTTATTGTTCAAATAAGAGAATTGCAGGTATTTTGTCGATATCTGCCAGCATAAATTTGTATCTTTGTTATCCTGCATACTCTGGTAGTCGTTTGGTAGATCAGTTGTACTGAGGATGATGTATGTATAATGATGATGGTTGATGAGTTGACCTTGAAAGAGATGCAGCAGAAGTATTAGGTATCACAGGCATTGGGAACCATGGGTTGCCTGCTAGTTGCAGGCTAGGAAAAAGACTCTCATTAGCTGGTAAATAGGGATATGTAGTTGGAAAAGTAGAAGGCTCCACCATCAGTCCAAAATAACTGTTCTGTAAGGGAGATATAATGTGGTACCGAGAAGTACAAGTTGTAGTTGTAACAAAATTCACAATGTGCCCATTTGCTTGAGTGCAGCTGCTCTGTGAGTGCATGTGAAAAGTGGTCAGCTGATTTAAAAAGGCATGTTGATCTGATAAAATTTGTTCTGATGGTCTAATTGAAGTTGCTGATGGTGGATAAAAATCAGTTCTCATTGGGGGAGTTGTATTAGCAATTGTCTGGCTGGAAGAAGGCCTCCTGATTAGAGGCACATTTAAATTTGTAGAGGTTGAAACTAGGCTTTCTCCACTAGTTTCAGCAACTAATCCAGAAGTAGGATTATCCACATTATTCCCTGCACTAAAGTGCTTCCTGTCGAAATCTTGAACTGATGAATGAGACACTGGCAAAGAATTTTTAATCTTGACTCTTCTTTTCATTCTTGCTAAAAGTTGGGGACAGCCTCGTTTAAAATTTGGATTATAATAGAACTGCAACTAAAACCAAAGGAGAAAGTTATTTAGTGATATTTTGAAACAAGATACAAGTGAGAGAATAAGAATCCTAACCTATCAAGTCCAATTTCTGTTTCATCAAAGTTAATGCCACCAACGAATACATGCAAATTGTTAATATCTTAAAAAATTTACTTACTTGGAAACAATCATTCAATTATAGTCCTCATGTGACAATGTGTTGTGTATTTACTGTAACAGAATACCATTGTAACCGGCTTTAGGACCTTTATTTAAATACAGCTCATTGATAAGGTTCAAAATTGCTAGCAAAATTTCTTATAATCCTGTTTCATGCCCAAGCTGTCCTCAATTTTTTAAAAATAAGTACTTTTAATAGTATTTCATATAATTTAAAATATCTGGTGTTAGCCTATATATATGAGAACATATTTACTAATGTACAAAAGAAAATCTTATATATTCCCTATATAAGTAATAACAAAAATTTCTGAATACCTTGCTTATTAAAACAGAGACTGTTTTTTCTTCTGCCAGAAAGTCAGCTAGGGAAGCAGATCTTTGAAAATTTGGTCGCATTTTGCGAAATCCGTAAAGGTTAAGCTGTCGAACAAAACTTTTCATATTATCGGTTCCAAATATTCTGAATGGGGCCTTTTTTTCCAAAACTTCTTGCTTAAAGAGTTCTTCATTAATCACTATAGAAGTTCCATTCTCATCCCACCAAATAGACTTAAAGTGATTGCTTTCAGTAATTTTCCAAAGTTTTCTGGGAAAGGTCAGTGAAAGAAAATCATTATCTTCCTCTGGGTCGGAGACACAAAATGTGTGATGTGGTCTTTTTATCAAGGATCCCTCAGACAAAGCCTGGAAAGCTTTTTCTTCGATCAGAGACCTCAACTCCGAGTCCCCAGTGAAGGTGTGATCACACGATGGAGATCTAATGGAAGTGTCTTTACCAGTTGATCCATCCTTAGGAGAACCGTCTTGAATTTCTGAAGAAATATGTGCCATCTCAAAGAAATTCTTCTTCAGCTACTTTTCTCATTTGCATGGTTTCGAACACTGCAGCTTCAAATGCTGCTTTGGCAGACCTATACAGATAAACTACCCAGACATCACAAGGTTCCCAACCTGAGTAGTTGTGACATCACAAAATGGCTTGTCTCCTAGCAACGAAAGTGTAACATTCAGCCAAAGTGTTTTCTTCTCAGTCTATGACACTTATCCAGTTGAAATAAAACAAAGGCTGGTGATTTACGTGATGTGATCTACAAAATCTCATTTTCCAGAGTCTTTTCAATAAGTGCAGACATACATAAATCCATTGGTCCCTAACATAAAAGTGGTTTCTTCCCTTCTATATGCACTCTGTTACTAGATCAGTAACAGTAGCATAGGGCCTGGGAAATGGACAATCAAAAAACGAGTAAAACAAAACAGATAATTTAAAAAGCTCTGTCAATTCAGAACTGAAATCTGTGCAGAATCTGTATATAAAAAGGCATAGCCATAGAGACAAAGCAGGTTAGCAGTTGCTGGCGGGGCTGGAGGACGGGAGAATGGCAAGTGACTGCTTAAGGAGTATGTGGGTTCTTTTTAGGGTGATAAAAATGTTTAAGAACTAGGGGCCAGTCTAGTGGCACAGTGGTTAAGTTCGCATGTTCTGCTTCGGTGGCCCGGGGTTCGCTGATTTGGATCCCCGGTGCGGACATGGCACCACTTGTCAAGCCATGCTGTGGTAGGCGTCCCACATGTAAAGTAGAGGAAGATGGGCATGGATGTTAGCTCAGGGCCAGTCTTCCTCAGCAAAAAGAGGAGGATTGGTGGCAGATATTAGCTCAGAGCTCATCTCACCCCCCAAAAAAAAAATGTTTAACAACTGGAGAGATGATGGTTGCACAACATCATGAGGATATTAAATGCTGCTGAACTATGTCCCTTAAGATGGTTATTTTTATATTATCTGTATTTTACCTTAACTTTTAAAAATGGCATGGATCTGTTACCACTGGTTAAAATAGAACATATTTAGATTTCAGAATATAAAGCTATTTATCTGTGTATCTTATGTAGCTGGTGTGTGTGTTAAATAGTAGTCAAAATGTTTTCATAGTCATTTTAGTAGAATAAATATGATTTTATTTGGTATGTCTATAAGTATCTGATAAGTATTCATGAAATAAAACATTTTAAGAGAAAGCAGGAGGTCCACCATTAAGGAGATCCTGAAGAGTGGGAGATAAAAAGTAACAAGACAGTGTGATAAGTAAAATTTTCAATGTGCATCTAGGGGAAAATTGCTTTTATTGCAAGCGCCAAAGGATTTACATAAAAAATGATGGGGAATAATCTTTGCGTCCAACAACATCATTATAAAACAGAAGTTATATTTGTGAAGCAATCTTAGTGTTGAATAAAAAGTTTCTTCTTTGTTTGAAAAATAACACTTCATTTGCAGTAAGAATTTCTATAGGTTCGTGACTGAAAGAAGTGTTATAATAACATCTTGGCTACTCTGGGTTTGGTAAGTGATTAAAATGTGTAAAAGAAATTAATAGTGATTTTTATATCTGTCATATTTTAGGAGGCAGTTCGTTCACACTTAGAAAAGGGTGTAAATGTTAGGAGAATGTCTTAGTTTAACACAGTTTTAAATTCACAATTTTGTGTACTAATCCTAAGTAATAAAAATTTTCACGTCAGTAAACATTCTGTAAAGATAAAACAGATACTCTCACCAGATGCAGGTTATGAATTTTGACTATCATTTCGTTCAAAACATTTTTGGAAAACTGTAGAGATTTGTGTTCACTTTCTGGAGTGTTTCCCTAATTTTGCACATGCTGGTTTTGTGAGGACCAGTAATTACCTAGGGCTGCAAACAATGTGGTGTAACTGTGTAGGAAACAAGGAGTTAATGGGAGAAACAGAAAGCAAAAATCACATTAAATGTAGAAAAGTCTCATCAAAATTGTGACTGCCAGTTTTGAGGAGCTAGGATGGATAGACCGTATAGGGAGGCAGGAAGCTTTGGAGATTACAGGAAGAGATGGGGATAATTCAGCTGTCTCCTGACTCCAAATTACCAAACCTACCTCCAGACATAAAGACACAAGAAAATGAGTAGCTTTATCTTGAAAACATGAATATAATATGTTGTATCTACTAAGCTATACAATACAGGAAACCTTTTCTGTCTTTACAGTCTCTTTAGTGGATAACGTGATGCAGATCACATTCTGTCTGGTTACGTGCTCATTCCATAATAAGCTGTTTTCTTTCTCTTGTGTCTGCATGAAGAAGTTTTCTAGATTGGATGGACATTTTGCTTGTAACTACATTCTCCAATATGTGTAATATTTAACCTTCAGACTAAAGGGAAAAGAGCAGGCAGATGAGGGAAGCATAGAAAGAATAGGATGTGGATGAGAAGGGGAAATTAAAGGGAGGTAGTGTTAAGCTACAAGTTGAAAATAGAAGATGAGAATGTTGATGCTGAAGGGAGGTGAGTAAAGCCCCTCATTTAAGTAAAAGTCCTGAGAAGTTTCAGCTTGAGAGTAAAATCACTTACTTTTTTAACGTGTTCCAAAACCATAGGGCAGCAAATAAGGAAGGTGGGTCTTCCTGTAAACACACAGGAGCAGCTCCTCCACCTTCATTTGGATCAGCTACTTCTACCTCCCACACTCTCTGAATGCCTAAACTCATAGATTTTGCAATAGCTGAGTCTGAGATAAATATGGTGACTTTAGGGTTCCTTTTGCAGAAGCTCAAGAGGCTAAAGAGAGAGGGCTGGTAGAAAGTGGAACAGTGGTTAAAGGTTAATGTATTACAAATTTCAGAGCTAACCATCAGCAGAAGGATGAACTGGGTTAATATTTAGTTTAAGTTTCAACCAAAGTGGCAGAAGTGAATGATATTCTGTTTTTCAGATGCTGGGGCACGGGCTATATGGGTGTAAAAAGGTACGCTTACTCATACTGTAATACTGAAGTTCATTGCTCTGTGCGTCTTGACTCCTGTTGAGCTTTATACTTTAAATTTTAGACTGTTGACGACATAAACTCTGAGGCTCTCCTGTGGATATTTTCACAAGTGTTTTCCAAAAATAACTTTTTGAGGCCACCTTGTATGTTCTAAGGAGAAGGAGTAGGTGGGTGAAGGAGACCTGGCGTGAAATGTGGTTGTGCTTGCACGCGAGGCATCCACAAAGCTGGCTGGATTTTTCTGCAAACAGAATGTTCTGCCTGGTGAACTCACAAGGCCCCAGGGAAAACATTGCTTGCAAACAAGGATGTTTTATCAGTTCCTCAAAAGGAACAAGCCTGAGACCTTGGGAGTTTGAAACATTATGAAGGAACCTGTTATAAACAGATGTGTAGGGGAAAGGTCATTATTGTGGGACGCTTGCGCAGGCTTACGTCGCTGACTCACTGCTTTGGCAAAAGGCCGGCTTTGTTTAGAGGCTATAAGAATAAAGAGCTCGAGAAACTCGAGAGACTACTACACAGCAACCGGTGTTCGTGTTTTCATTTCGTCGGCAGCAGTGGGAAAGGCAGAAAGGTATAATTTGCATTAATATCTCATTTGATTTATGAATTTCTGGAAAAAGAATCAGTTTCATTTCTTGTAATATTGAATTCCCTCCCACTTGAAGCCCGGAAAGTCAGACATCTTTACAGTTATTTATTCATGCCTCCATTTATGTTCTTCACCTACTTTTGTAGTATCTATCTTCCTCTCTGAGACTCCCCACTCTTCCCTCTCTCTCTTTCCTTCTCCTCTCTTTCCCTTCCTCTTGTTTTTTTCTTTTCTTTCTATTTTTCTTATTCACTTAGCCACTAGATATTTCGTACTCATGTTAAAAAATCATTTTAAATAAGATCCTTCTTTTGCTAACATTGCATCCTTGGCTTTCCTTATTTGGAAAGAACATTTTTATGACATCTTTGGGTGAGTAATTACATCATCTGCAAATGACAGCCATATTCCCATATTTCCTAGGTAGACATGGATAATTCATTCTCTTCTCTATTTATAAGTGGTAAAGTGTATATCTCATCACTCTAAGAGATTGTCTTAGGTTTGTGAAATTATAATTGATTAGTTGAGTGAGATCTCATCAAGATGGTGCTTTAGGCAGACTCTGAACTCATCTCCTCCCACAGACACAACAAGGCTACAACAATTTTTGGAAAAATTACCCTGGATAGAAAACTGAAAACTAGATAAAAAGAACCCCCACAATAAGGGACAGTCCTGACTAAGATGTAAGAGGCAGAAATTCCTTCTGGAGAGAGAAAAAGCCACCTTCAGGAACAGTGGAGTTTCTCAGCTGTTCAGATGGCAGCCACCCTAGGTTTGCAACCCTCCCTGGAGAAGTGAGGTCCTGAGTGGGGGACCCATACTGCTATAAGCATCCTTCAGAGTCAACACAACTGAGATGAGGGTAATACTATCTGGTTTTGCTGGCTATTAGCTGTAGTGGGGAATAGCCCCAGAAGAGCTATCAGATGAAAGCCAAAAAGACCAGGTCTTAAAGGGCCCATGCACAAACTCACCCATCTAGGCAACCTAAAATCACCAGAAAGAAGGCTGACAGTCCTTTGGTGAAAGAACTCACCTGGTAGGCTCTGGGTGCAACATGGTGAAAAGGCAGACCACTCCAGAGACTAAGACATTGGTGGTTACCATTGTTGTCAACTGGTATGGGCATGCTGACACAGACCCTAGCAGATGCCATTGAAGTTCCTCACCTGCCCTGTTAGCCCAGGGGTCTGCCACACCCACTAGAGTGCAGATTTAATCCAGCTCAGCCATAGCAGACATCCTGCCTTAGGGACTGGCCCCAGCCAACAGCAAACCTTCAGGCTGTTTGTTAGCCTGCATTGATGGGGTGCCTAATTCTGTACTGGCAGGCGAGTGTGTCTGCCTCTGTGGGGCAGGACCAGTGTGAGGACCAGGTGAACAGTGGGGGGCATTGGTGGAGAGGTGGGGGCCTCTGCAGTGCAGTGTCAGGGTATGCTCCGGGGTGTTAGAAAGTGTGCATGGACCAGGACTGTGTTGATAGGGTGTGTGGTCCTGTGGGGGGTGAGGCTTAGCAGCAGCAGAAGACCTATGCTTCACCAATAGCCGTAAAAAGGTTCAACCCCACCTTCCAAAGCCTGAAACAATTGAGTGCTCCCGTGTCTAGGGCCAGCCCCACTCAGCTGCACTCCTAAGAGAACTGACAACAGCTTTATAGGCCTGAGACCTATAGCAACTGTAAGTCCCTGAGCCTAGCAACCAGCTACACTGGGTACCAACCCAATTAACAGGACAACTGCAATAGGAGTGTGCTATTAGACTTTGTAGCCAACGTTGCTGGGGCTCCCCAAACCAGATTTACCAACAGCTGGCCAGGGAAGGAAAGACTAGGCTCCCTGGGTGCCTGCATTGAGTAACCCTGCCACCCCAGAAGGACATAAGTAGCCCACAAAGGGGTCACTCCTGGATCATTGGAACTGGTGAAAAGAGGAAAGCACACTGCTGGGCCTCAAAAGGCATCTCTTACATAAGACCACTTCTCCAAGATCAGCAGACATAGCTGACTCACCTAATACATAGATATAAGCAGAGAGAAAGAGGCCTAATGAAGAGACAAAGGAATACATTG